CCCCCTTTATAATATAATGATTTGGTCGAGTTGATGAATTTCTTTCATTGATTTTCTCAATTGAACCACGTATGAATAAACCATAAATTTTCTTGTGTTGGATATACTCTGTTGAAAAATAGTAGAAGAAGTAGGTATTGTTGGGGCTTATTGCAAATAACTAACTACGTGAAGTGAATTATAAGCTCTGTTTTGTTTGTGGCATGGCGTGCACCGTAGTTTTTTCTTCTTCTTTTTTAACAGTATAAACATGTTGATAAATGTTCTTCATTTTTCATTTATTTTTATCCCTTTTCTCTTTTCTTTTAAGTTTTAATTCATTTTGCCAAGTTTGCTTGGGTTGGACTATAGCGAGATTGGCGTGCTGAATGTACGAAAATTCATAGGCTTTGTTGTTGGATCTGTTATTAATAATTAGAGAAAAACCAAAGAGGGGATTAGATTGAAAATCAATATAATACTATAACAGTAATTGAAGTTGTGTTGATCTTAATTGATTGAATATTCAGTTATTATGTTAAATAAATAAATAAACAATCAATATTAATTTATAACAACGTCGTGTCGTGGGGCAAAACAATGAAAAATTGAAAATATTTTGTCCTCCCTTACCAGTCAGCAGTTACCACAATCTGACAGCATGACCACACTTTTTATCAACTATCTCCGCCTTTTCAGTCAAAGCATCAACAACCACGTGGCATCTCAATTTGATCACCATCTTCCACGTCTTCGCGGACCCCACTTCAAACACAACCCCCTCCTCAACCTTCACCACCAACGGCACCCTCTGCCTCCGCTCCGCGCTTCTCAACGCCGCCAAAAAGGCCGCGTTACCGCCGCCCAATTCCACGCCGGAACCCGCCAGCGTCACCCGCACCACCGCCACGCTCCTCCTCGGCTGGTAGAACGCCGCCATTCTGCCGCCGCTCAGCTCGACCCCTCCGCACGAGACTCCGGCGGCCCCGTCGTCGAGATAGTATATTCCGACCCTGCCGTTGGGGTTCTCCGCGCGGATGCTGACGGTGATTTCCGGCGAGATGGGCTCGGAGGTTGACGTCAGGTTATTCAGGCCGCGGATCGCGAGTGCAAGCACGGTGTACTCCGGCGACTTGAAATCGAAGGCGAGGTACATTGCGGCGGCGGTGGAGGCGGAGAGGACGGCGGCGAGAGAGACGAGGCTGAGAGCGAGGAGGCAGCAGAAGCTCCGGCGGCGGCGGCGGGAGAGGGTCTCCGGCGTCATTGTGGTGGCTTGTTCTTGTATGCGGGTGAGGGCCGCCATCCTCTTGGCGATTTCCGGTGGGTAGCGGGGGATTTGCTCAGGTGGCAGATGGACAGTGTGGGTCGCCGGCGGTGGTGGTGGCAGTGGATCGGCCATTGTCAGAGGATTACTAGATTATTAATTATTGATAAAAATGAAGGGGAATGTGAGGTGGGGTACTTTATATATATGTGTGTGTGTGTGTCAGTGTGTGTAATGTGTTTACTTTTGAGATTAGTAATATATATAGTGTTGAGTTGTGAGAAAATTGATCGATGAGAAAATCTTGAATTGTGAGATATTCGTAAATGGCAAAAAGAAAGCAACAGCCAAGGAATTAAACTTGAAACAGAATTTTAACCATTATAATAAGATAAAATTAATTGCTCCACCTATTAGTAATATATAGTTGTGAGTTGTGAGAAATTGATCTTCATTAAGGGGACGAAAAAATCTTGATTGTGAGATATTCGTAAAGGGCAAAAAGAAAGCAACAAACAAGGAATTAAACTTGAAACAAAATTATAACCATTATTAGTAAGATGAAATTGCTCCACCTATTAATTAATTAACTAGATGTTCACTAGTTTACGCGTAGTTGCTATCACTTGATGCAAATATATTGAATCAGTGGAAAAATGTAGTAAACTCACCAGATCATACAAATTTTACGACTTTTGCTGAATTCTATTAGTAATTTGTCATATTAAAATAGAGAATTTCAGCAGTGAAATAATTTACAAGAAAATTCATTAATGGATTATGTTTGTAAATGTGGGTATTTCCACTGAGTTATTTTTATAAGAATGTGGCAGTTTTCTTGTAATACAATTAAAATTAAAGGAGCTTAATAGAAGTAAGCCACCTAACCATTGATTGTGATCTTGTTATCGATCCTCCCCACCAAGCAACCCACAAAAAGTTTGTTGTTATTTGTAGTCCGGATTGATATGGAAACATATTTCTATGCATAACTTAACCACAAAAAGACTCGAATCGAGTCTGGATATGTCATGAAATATTAGTTAAAAAGGGTTAAATGTGGATATGTTGGTTAATACTTCTTAATCTATCAGCTTAAATGTTGCTTATTTCTTAACTACGTAATCAGTTTATTAGTGTCACAATCAACGGAAAAATAAACTAAAAATTAGCCCACCAGCCCAATAATAAATATAATATACTATATAAAAGCTCACTTAAAAGTTAATTTAATTTAACAATCTAATTACAAAGAGGGACCTGCAGCCATTCCATTCAACTGCAAGTTGCAACTGCTACATTCTGCAAAATTGTAAGTCGTGCCCCATCTGCCCAAATTCCATTTATCCGCACAAATTCCAATCTTGAGGTGAGATTTTTAAAATTATTTTTGTTCTTTAGTTTTTCTTACTTTTTAGTAAATTATGATGTTTAGAGAATTAATCATGTTCCATGTCTAATATACTACTTCAGTTTTTATAATATTGTGGGGTTGTAGATTTATATTAGGGGTGGGCAAAAAAACTGAATTTCCCGATATCGAACGGTACCGAAATAGTCCCGTTCCGAAAAATAAGGTTCAAAAGGTTTTCTTTATTTTCGTTCCGCTCCCGGTCCCGAACCGTTTTAAACAATGTGGGTATCGGTTTTGAATATTTTTGTCACGAATCGTCCTATTTATCCCATTTTAATTAGTTTATACAAAACATTATATATAATACATTATTATTTATATTTATATTAGTAATATAGTAAATAGTTATTAACTTCATTTCAGACTTTCAGTAGTTCTTCAGCCTTTCTGTTGTGCATGCTATTTGTATGTTGTAATATAAAGCCCAATTCTGTACTTGTCCCAAATAAAATTAAATAACTAAACAATTACCCATATTTATTGTATTTGCATTTGGCCCAAATAGTACTCAGCTGCGCCCAACTGTCAGCAATATCTATACTTATATTATAAGGGATGGTATTTACGAAATATAGCAGGTTGAAAAGTCAACCTTAATTAATGATTTGCTATTTTTATCAATCATTTAATTAATGCATCTAATATTTTTGGTATGCAAATCAAATTAGCATTTAATTAATTCCTAAAATATTGAATATGCAATATTAATTTTAGGAATATTCATGTAGTTCCTAAAATGTTGGTATGCAATACGTAAAAGAAGATTTTTTAATTTTTTTAAATATAAAATATTACAACACGTAAAACTATTCCAGTTATTTTTTTTTATTTTATTTTACATATAAAATTTAATCAATATTTAATGTATCCTACAAAATTAGATTTAGTTTAATTCTCCATACAATTGGTTGTAACTTTTTCAGTTGTACATTTATTTATTTATTTATTTTACACTTTTAAATTAATGAAGCTCTCCGAACATTATTAGGTAGTTTCAAACATTATTTGTGAATAATATAGAATATTTTAGATGCTTTTATAGATGTTATAAAATATTTTAAGTATTTTTAATATTTATATATCACACTTAAAAAGAATATTTTGCCAAAAAAAACATTAAATACACATTGTAAATGTTAATAAAAACAGTCTTCAGTATTCATCTTTGATTTTGTCAAAACAAATCTCATAAAATCGGTGAAGTCAAAATTTGTACGTAAAGTCTATCTATGCTAAAAAAAGGTAGATTCAAAATTCTTTATCTAATTTCTTCTTTTCCTTATGTAATTCCTTCTTATTATCTAATTGTATAGAAATCTGTTCTGATTTTACTCAATCCTCTAATTGTATTTGTATCATATCCCATAAAATCGGTTTAACAAAAAAAATCTCATAACATCCGATAAGTAAAAAAAAGTACGTAAAATCTTTACTAACATAAAAAAGGCTTTATTTATTATCTAATTTATTATCTAAATGTATGGAAATCTGTTCTGATTTTATAGTACGTACTACAAATTGTGCACCCGTGTTCAGGAGCTACTTAACGGGCAAGCTATGTGGAAATAACTCATTTAGTGCTTCTGTCCCATGCATACGGTATGTATTTGTATTACACATACTAGAAAATTGTGCACCCCGTGTATCGCACGGACTCTGTACTAATAAATGACCTTAAAATTGTGCACCCCGTGCATCACCTGTGTTCACATTTTGGCCTATTACAGGTCACGTACTATTTATATCTCGTACATTTTTTTTTATTCATTTATATAATTATAAGACTTGATAAATAGTCTTAATTTTGTGCACCCCGTGCATCGCACGGGATCTGTACTAGTATGTTTGATGCTGTGTGTTATTGGAAATGGAATAAGTATATTTGGTTGAGTTTATTTATTTATTTATTTTTATCCGTTTTGTCCCGGTCCCGATTGATACCGATCCGTTTGGGACGGTGTCTCATCCCGGACCGTTCCCGGACCGGTTCAAAAAAAGGGACAGGTACCGGGATAGGTCAAATCCCGGACCGTCTCGGAACGCGCCCACCCCTAATTTATATTCACAACAAGTTATGATTTTTCTAATTTTATTTTTTACAATAAGTCATGATGATTTTGTGTTTTAGTGTTAATATTAGGTCTGAGCAAGAGACTCGGAGAATTTCGAATCGTTTCGAAATCCGAACCAAAATCACTTCGAACCAAAAAATAACCGTCGACCATTTGACTTTCTCCGAACCGAACCGAAAAAATAATTGGTACGGTTCTGGAGATTTCACAAATATCCGTACCGAGAACCGAACCGAACCGTCCCACCGTACCGAACCGAAGAACCGAAATTAAGAACTGAATTATAAAAATAGATGTGTGTTTTTAATATATTTTATGTCAACTTTGATTCTATATAATTTGAAAATTTTTAAAATACAAATAAAATATAGTAATAACAATTAAAATTCACTTAAATTTCATGCTTAGTAATACTTGATCTACAATTGAATTTCTCGTGTTTTAAAAAAAATATTTAAAATAGAATGAAATGTTAAAGACTTTTTTTAAAAAAATATTAAACTTTACTTAAATTTGTCGATACTTTGCCTTATTCTATCTTATAACTAACATAGTATTGAAGGTTAAATAAATAGTACTTTAATAAAAAACTATATTATATTTTCTTTGAATTTTAAATTTTCAATGTTAGTTGAATTTAGTCTTAACTTAAATTTAGGGTTACTTCTAAAGTTGATTTAAAAATAAAATCTTTAGTACGATGAAGTATTGATTAATGTTGGATTGAAAAAAAAATCATATAAAAACCAAAATATAACTAGGTGGTCATTCAAAAATATATAAAAAATAATAAGAATCTCCGAATATCCAAACTGAACGGAACCGTTCCGATAGTCCCGAAAAACAAACCGAACCAAACTGAAAAATAAAAATATCCGAACAAAACCGAAAAATAAAAATATCCGAACCAAACCGATTTTTTGGTACGGTTCTGAAGATCTAATGTTAGTGATCTCCGAACTTCGGTACGGTACCGTACCGACCCATGCTCACCCCTAGTTAATATACCTTTTCATTAGGTATTTCAATGTCAAATCAAGAGAGAAAAAAGGCCAAATATTCTCTCGTTCTTTAAGCCAAAAACTGATAATTCTTCATCGTCTTCGGCTTTATAAACCGCAACAAAAACAGTTGAAAGTAATCCAGTAATTTCTAATGAGGATCTCGAGCAGCCTTATAAATCTCCAAGAATTGAATTTGACGATACTTGTCTTGAACGAGATCCTGATACGTATTCCTATGTGGCAACATCCGGTTAATCACCATGATGAAATTAGACGAGCTTACGACTATGTTTAGTAGACAATAAGTGAGCTTATAGCTTATTTGGTTAGCTTATAAGTTTCATATATTTAAATAAGCTTCGATTGGTAGGATGAGCTTATTTAAAATGCTCGAGCTTATTTCAAAAGCTTCTTTGAGTAGCTTTTCACATAAGCTCGTTGAAATTTTTATTTCAGCTAGCTTATCAGCTAATTTTACTCAACACTTTTATCATATAAGCTAGCTTTTCAGCTATAAGTCATAAGCTATAAGCTCGAAAATTACTGATAAGCTATAAGCTAGCTTATCAGCTAGTTTTACCAAACATATCTATATCAAACGGGGGTCATATTAACCAAAATTGACAAAGTATCCACGGTCTAAAT